TTGTTGTTGTTGTTGTTGTTGTTGTTGTTGTTGTTGTTGTTGTTGTTGTTGTCGCTGTGGTCGTGGTTGTGCTGTTGTTGTTGTGGATTCAGAAGGATTCTGAGGCGGCTCTGGAGAGCAGAGAGAAACGGATGAGTATCGGGAAACCTAGGAGAAACTCCAGAGACTTCCTGCATGGTGAGCAGATGTGGATGAGGCTCTGAGAGTATGAGCATATCCCATCAACGTATCACTCCCCAACACGCTGAAGGCTGGGGTTGACGGCCAATACAGCTGCCCCTCCATTTCCCCGGAAAACACAACTGCAATTTACCAACATGGGAAAAATAATAAAATATCCATTCTAGGCTCCGTAAGGAAGAGGCCATAAGAGTACTATCGCTCACCGTCAAAAGCCTGTCAGTTGTTGTCATCAAATTGACTTGCTCAGGTCTCAGATTCTTCCTCTTCAACATCCGAAGCAATACAAGAAGAGCTGTCACAGCAACACCGGGGCCCTCATTGACCAGATTCATTGTCTGCTCCATCCACCACCAGTTTGAGGCCAAGTCGGAAAGTCCCACCGCCCGCGCCAACAGCAAAACACATACAAGCATGTGTGTGCACGTTTCCACGCAGTTTTGCAACGCCATAAAAATAACGCCAAACAAAAGCCAGCAAAGTTACAAAACCATAAAACTATTAAAATTGAGAACACACAAAAAAAAAGGGACGCATGCACTCCAGCCAAAAAAAAAAAGTGGTTCAGTAATTTATCAAAATTTAATCATTCAATGCCAAGCAGTCGTGGGTAATTGACCCTATCGTGTTTATCCAAACTTTATAACTCGGCCATTTTGCAAAACCATCGCACCCAAGTCGTCGTCAGAACAAGTATGTTTTTAGTACTTTTTAGTACTTTTTACCAATTGGCCTAGCTCAGTTGACACACCCGTGAACTGTTGAAAATTGAAATACAGACCCAAGTTCGACTCAAGATGTAATCAGATGAACAAAATAAATTAGTGAAAAAACAAGAAAAAGGATCGCCCATGTTTTGCTCCCAAAAAGTCGTGGTTAGAAATACTGTTGCTTGTCATGCTGCGCGACTCCACACATCTAAACTTCTTAAAGCATTTGAGTCGATCATCGTCCATCGTCGTCATTAGCACAGCAGCACCACCTCACCTCGCCGATCTTGTCTCACCTCCGTACTCTCACGATCTCCACAAGGGGTTAACGACGACCCGGTTAACGACGACCCCGACTTTTCAGTTACTACTGGGTAACGGGTCCAAAACTGAAATTAGGGTTTGGGCCCTTTGGGGGTCAGCTCTATGAATTGATGATGAGCACGTTTGGTTAAAACTCAAAACTTAAAAGGCCCTTTGGGTTTTCTTATAAATGGCATGACAAATTGTGTCTGAAAATTTACGCCTCCGTTAACCCTCTCTCATGATCTACAGCCAGGCTGAACACCCAGTTCGCCACAGTAGGTGCATCACCGATTATAAGGGGAAAACAAAAAAAAGAAAAAAAAGTGATGTACCAACTACCTCTCAGGTAACAGCTGTTGCGGTGGAGGTCGACCTGCACAACACTTTGTGTGCCCTCTTACGCACGGCAAGGACTCAGTTATTTTGCACCAGAATGAATCGAAGAACTAGACAGTTGTATACACATTCTGATTCACCATAGTGGCTCCAGCAGGGAATGTCATTGCTGCACATCCCGCGCAAATTAATTTTACACCTCATCTCGTTTTTTGCGTGGCTCAAGGCCTCGATACGCCCTACTGGGCCCTATTTTCAGTACAGTCGGCCGCCCTAAGTGAAGGCAGGCTCGACCAAGGCTTACGGGCCCATTTTGGGGTCACCACGCAACTTGGGAAATTCAGGCAGTTGCGCAGCGCCAGTTGGTTGAAAGCACCCAGGCGCTGGCTGCCTTTATCAAATGGATCTGAGGCAGGCCCTGGGCGAGATACACAACATAGACCCAACACAGGCTGCGGGCAGTGGGGTGCGGGTAACCGCCACAGGCCCTGGGCCTGATTCGTCTGGACTGGGGCTCAGCCTCTCGGGGTCTACCGGAAGCTTCTGGGCCCGGGCCCAATGCAGCCAGGCCGCACGCAGCAGACAGGCCATTTCCATTTAGGAAAGAGCCTGCCCACACATTCGACATTCGGGCACTGGCTGCATGCTGTGCAAGCGCTGCCAAGGCCCACGCGCTCACGGGCGAGCAGGGAGAGCAGGCAGCCATAGCCGAGCTGCGCTGCGCTGAGCTGGATGGGGCGCATGGTAGTCCTTGGGTGCACGTGGCATCTGTGAGTGGGGGAATCACACATTATTAACAAAAAAAAAAAAAAAAAAAAAAAAAAAAATTTCCCTTCCAACTTTGGGCCTTGCTCTGCTACTCAACATGCAACAGGTATCTGGACTGACACATGGACTAGATAATACAATGGGACTGATCAATCAGCTTGAATCACACTTGCGGCGCACCAGTGAGGTGCCGCATGCGGTGCGGTGCGGTGCGCCCTGCGCCGTGCGCGGATCTAAGATGCGAGCGCACGTTGTTGGGCCACATCGGGCAACCAGAAAGCCAACAGGCTGTCACGCAGGATTTTGTTGTTGATTGCAATAAATAAATAAATTAAATAATGCAAATCCCTTTCTGTTGTGTGCGTCCGGCTTCGAGCGAGACCCTTCAATTATGGTCTTCGCCGCTCCCCGGTCTTAGGAATCTTTTATTTTGATTCGGAACAACAGAGAATCGTGCAAATAATAATCATAAAATAGGTGAGTGCTATGCATGCATCAATTATGTCAATCTGATTTTGAGAACTGTGACAGAATCATCCACGAAAACAATCATCAAGCAAGAACAATGCAAGAGGCAAGACCGACTGACTCGAGCAATGACAAAGTCAAGGTCAGATGAGGGAAGAATGAGAACTCATAATAGTCTCAGAAAGCACATATGGAAGAGAGCATGGCCAGCACCAATCAAGAGTCCTCACTCATCCCTCTAAACTTCACACTCAATCTCTCATTTCGCTGTCTGTCGTTTGGGCTTCTTGTCATGCCTCCGTACTCTCTAAGGTTGTGGCCTCTGAATGTAAAGCCACCTGAAGCCTGCTAGTTCCGAACTCTTCCATCCAAGTCCCATGATACGAAAGTCAACCATGGCACAAAACTCCTCCCATAAAGTGGGGAGATATGGCTGAGAGAAGATAGCTCGTCTGAGATGCAAGGACTCAGATGGCTCAGTCACTGCCTCGTAATCGATCACTGCAGGTGATACATATCTCTTTGCCAAGTCCACAAGGTCACCCCAGCATGATCCGTCAGTGAAGTAGTAAGGAACCGGGGGTTTGGGGTAGTCAGTAAAGAGCTTGGGCCCAAAGCTGTAGACTAGCTTCGCGTCCCCTTTTAGTCTCTCAGCTTTCCATTGTACAAACCTTGTTGCTGCCACCCAAACAGCGTCAAAGTGTGAATGTGCCTCATTCCCTTTCTTCAGATATACTCCCAGATCCTTGACTGTCCCTCCTGCAAATTCTGTGAGAGCGACGAAGATTGACAGGTCTTCATGCCTAAAGCCATCAATCTTGACATACTTGTAGGGGAAGCTCTCCTTGGCAACAATCAAATTGAGATTGTCAAGGACCAACTGGCCAACTGTGATGGGGTTGATCTCTCTCATGTACTCACGTAATCGGTTACTCTCTGATAGTTAGCTGGAAGGTAGTTGATTCTAATTGAGAAGCGCCTGCCACGAGTCGGATCAACTGTTGTCCGCTGAAATAGGCAGCGACCACTGCAAAGCTGACAGATCTAGAATTTGCTTGGGTGCTGTTAGAGGCTGTTTGAATGCTGTTTGAGAACTGACTAAATAGCAGTTGAATATCGATTAAATAAATGACTGAATAGCAGTTAAATAATGATTGAGTAGTGACTGAGTAGCAGTTGAATACTGTTCTGAACACTGTTCCGAGCTCTGAATACTGTTCTGAGTACTGTTCTGAGTACTGCCTTGAGTACTGAATACTGCTCTGAGTATTGTTCTGAGCTCTGAGTATTGAATACTGCTCCGAGCACTGTTATGAGCTCTGAGTACTGAATACTGCTCTGAGTGCTCTTCTGAGCTCTGAGTACTGAATACTGCTCCGAGCACTGTTCTGATCTCCGAGTACTGAATACTGCTCTGAGTGCTGCCTGAATATTTGTCTGAGTATTGAAAAATATTTGTCTGAGTATTGCTAGAATATTTGTCCGAGTATTGCCAGAATATTTGTCTCCAAATCGTGATTCACCGTGTCACCATGCTGCAGGAGGAGGGTGCAATCTGTTGCCGTTCAAAGTTGATAGAGTTCTGAGGGTGGTGATTAGAGCACTGCAGAGCTCATACAAGCCTTGCCCTGGCCTGTTCCACCGTCTCTAGAGAGGAGCTGGCACTGTGCAACCTACCATTGTCTCCATAGAAGTAGATCACATATTCGATATACTTCTCACCCTTCACCCTCTGAACCGCGTGCTCACGTTGAACTTTTCTATGTAACTTCATGTCTCGGTACGCTTTTTTCTCCCATCCTTCTCTTTTATCCCTGTTCAGTCCACTCTTCACCACCAGGACTTCATCCTCCCTCATGACTATTACACGGACTATATCACGGGGTTACCAGACGGGTTCCGACAGCCCGTGTTGAAAGGTGCAGAAACACTCCTCCGCGGTACTGAATAGCTGATGGGTATTACTCCTTTTCGTATGTATACTTATATATATACGTGTCACAGGGCTTTACTGAGTCACGAGAACATGACTGAGTGCTGCGTAGATGGTTCCGACCTTTAATTCCTCACACATATATGCCCAGCAGATGCCTTTAATCGCAACCCCTACCCGTCGATAGCTCTGAGTGTTGTCTGCAACCCCTTAGAGACCCGTCCGGAATTCAGTTGATCCAGCAGGCAACTGCAGGTCAAATGCAAAAAAAAAAAAAAAAGGACTCACTGATTAGGACACCTACAAACAACATTTCGCAGCGATTTTGATTAAAGGATCACTATGATAACCGAATGTTGCTAGGCCCTGGGGTCAGTAATCTCAAGTGGATCACACCCAGGCCCGCTCACTTCCTTCTTTACCTGCTAGTTCAGGATGGTGACTCTGAGCCACAGTCTCTTGATAGGTCCCTGTTGAAGCCGTCAGACACTGACTTCCCAGTGTATCACGTGTAAATGACTACTTACCAGTTAGCCTATACACAGATTACAGACAGAAAATGTGTGTCTTACACTTAGAGTCAAGCCTGAGTTCAGAGCCCCGCTCCCAAATGCAAGTTGTTGCAATGCAGTAGAACAACAACGCTGTCTCCTCCCCTTACTGAGGGGCAATTAGTTTGTCTGTTATTTGAGTATAGCAAACTAGCAACCAGTTGCAGAGAGTTAACTGTAGAAACACACCATTATGTCACCAAACTTTATATTCCCCTCTATCGTTGGGGTTGTACAGAGTTCATCCCTGCATAACACTCCTCAGA